AGGTTTGCCACTGCTTGTGAGGCAGCCTCCCTCATCTATGGGTTTTAAATCTTGTAGTGGTTGTTTAAAAGTTTCACTCTTTGTTCCACTTTGGGACACTGGCACATTTGTGTCCCCTTGACGTCCATCATAAAGCCGCCATTCAGGCAAACAAAAAGGCTATTGTTGCCTTTCTGGTGAAATAATATTATCACAAGTACAAACAATGAATGCTTCTTATTGAAGACTCATACCAGAAGCAGAAAAGGTCTTTRATGAAATGTGGAATTAAAATTTAAAAACTTGCTTACTGATTTTTTTAAGTTAATTTAAAACAAAATAGTAATCCATTACTTGTAAAGCAATTCAAGCTGCCTTCAAGAAAATAATTCTGCATTAACACATTTTAAAACTTCAAAGTCAGTGAACCATATTAGCTTTGGGAGCAAATAAGTATTATGAGGTTGATGATTCAGAGGCATTAAAATTAGCTCACATGTTCTGCCTCGAATGTGGTTTCAGTTGGTCAAAGAGCGACTTGTCAAAATATCTAAAAACAATTTTATTCACATGCACTTATTAAAGTCGTAAGACTTTCTTTGGGTGATGAAGAAAATATTAAATTTGAGGGTGTTGTCACAAGTACAATGATGGAACAACTTGCATCTTACTGTTTACAAATGTCAAGTTGTTGATGTGCATTAAGGACAAATATCTGTGCCAGAAAACAAAACACATTGTCAGTGCTGAGGAACCACAACTCTCTCAGCGTGTTTTATTTTTTTATTTTTTAACTCTATAAAGTATTTTTGGTTTGGACAGACATTGAAAATAAAATGCCTGAGGAACAAAATTAACTGTGTATTCATTGGTAAGAATGAGGTTTTCACACTTATGGCAAAAACAGAAGGTTTTATTTGCTATTCCTCTGTTTCAGAATTGCTTCACAATATAGCCAAATGCATGAGTCTTTTTGAGGAATTAGCCAATTGAATTGTAGAGGAAACAGCAGCTAATTAAATGCTACTCAAGTATGTTTCAGCGTATGCAATTTAAATATTCTGAAGTACCAAAACAATTTAGCAGAAAATATAAACAACCTTAAATGCAAAAAATTGGACACACATTCAACTCTGTAACTGGACAACTTAATTTTAACTTATTGGGTTGATTTTTATTAATTTATTTCTGAACTTAATCTGGAAAGCAGATGTTTTCTGTTATAAATAGAAGAGATTGATTTGTAAAGTTCTTTGGTAAAAAGAACTGCCTTTGTCTCAAACAAGATATTTAAACATCTTCAAAAAACAACTAATAATTGTTAGTTATTGTTATGTGATTTTAATTTCACATAAGGCTACTAAAGAGTCTGATGGAGGAGAGCAGCATCCTGATGGGAGTTCTTCAGCCAGTCTGCAACCTCCCCCCACTCCACAAACCAGTGAGATGCCTCGTTAACCTTCCAGAAGGGACCATGAATGGCATGACACACACACCAGTAACTGGCCTACTTCTGCACGCTGCATGTCTGCTCTCTGGGTATTGGGCCGTGTAAGCCCACTTTTCCCAGTGACAGGAAGCATCTTGGCTTTTAGGTATCACATCCATCTGATCAGCTGAGCATAGACAAAATCCAGAATTTAAAGTGATCAAAACAGGTTGAGAAAGAGCAACAGAGACAGTTCGTCTGACTCAATAAAAATACATCATAAAGACAGAGGGTCCTGTGCCATTATGTAGGCTACACACTTCATTCACTGTTGACAAAATTACCTTACTTTATAGCTTGTAAAATGCAAATATTCTGAGACATTTTCATTTAAAGCCTCAACCTCAAGGTTTATTTTACCACCCATCTGTGAACTGTAATAGTTCTCAGCCTGAGAATTACAGTGTAAAATCTGACAAAGTGTAACAACTTCAAAAGATGAATGAAACAACATAAAATCCCTTGAAAAACTTGATTAGGGTGGTAGTTTTGGATGTAATGACTAGTAGGGTTGGGCATAATCGTATCGTGTGCAATTAATCGTCAGAAAAACATTAATTGATTATTTTTTGGCACTTGACGATTAATATGATTAATGCCACCAGGCAGACTGGTGATTTCCCCATTGGGTCTGGTCGGTGATCCTTTCCGCTTCAAATATGACGAACATTAAAAAATACAGCGGGTAAAGTAAGTATTGAACACGTCACCATTTTTCTCAGTAAATATATTACTAGAGGTGTTAATGACATGAAATTTTCACCAGATGTTGGTAACAA